TCAGACACTAAATTTGTAATTATGAACACTGGATCTGTATTAAGATTTTGTAAATTTTCTACTGAAAAAGAAGTACTTGCAATTTTTCATATTTTGAGTCAACATACTATTAATATAATTAGAAAGACCTTTATTCTATGAACACTTATTTGGTGGTTTAAAGAAGATCTTTTACTTTGTAAAATATATTTTTTAGTCTTGTAATTTTTAAAAAAAAAATGTTTCTCTTATACTGGTTTGCTTACAAAATTTGTATATATCGTTTTTTATACCGGATCTTTCCCATTTCCTTTCCCACCCCTCCACCTAGCCATCATATTGTGTGACCACATGGTTACTCTCTTGCCCATTCTCATTCCTCCACTCCTACTCTCCCCCACTTGCATCTTCATATATTTTTTAATAGTTATCTTTCTATTTCTACAATAATGGTCTTACACAGTATTTGTCCTTGTGGGACTGAGTTAGTTCACTCAGCATGATGCTCTCCAATCCCTCTCAATTTAGGTAGTAATTTACAAAATCGTTGCTTCTGTGTGCTGCGTAGTATTCCATAGTGTGATTGTACCATAATTTCTCAATCCATCCAATTGTGGTTGGACATCTAGGCTGTTTCCGTGTTCTTGCACACATGGCCTTTAGATCAGTCAGTTTCCATTTTATTAGCAACTAACAACTGTGAGAAATTAGTCACTTCAGGACTTTATGAGAAGGAGGAAAGTAGAAATTGTTCATGGGGAAAACAACTGCTTAAAATTATCATAAATATATATATAATATTAAATTATCATGTTATCTTCTTGCATGATTTTGTTTCTGAAATTACGTGAGAGACTAAAATCTTTATTGTTTGACTAGAGTATGAAGTGTATAGATCTCTAATAAATGCCCTTTTCACAGGTGTCTAGGATTCCTTTGTCTATTCCATATTCATTTGCTTATTCTGCATGATTACCTGTGTAGAACACTTACTCAACAGCTCAAAAAAGCCATTTGTGTTACATTTGCATTCATTAAATTATCACTATTATCATTATTCATTAAATTAAAATCTTTAAAGAATAGTTAATTAATGTCAAACCAGTGTTTAAACTTTTAGTTGTCCTGTAAATGTAACATTGATTGCCATCGAGTTGAGCACGACTCATGACCCTATGAACAAAAGGCTTGAACCCTTTTTATAACTATTGTCATTTATCAGAGTTCAGAGAGTTTCTAGAGGCATGTTGTTTAGGAAGCAGATGCCATTCCTGTTCCAAATAGAATAGATTTTTTTTAAATGTAAAAGATTTTTTAAAAAATAGTTTGAATAAGAATCCAAATAAAGATCACACATTGCAATTCCATAAAAGCCTTCTGCTCTGTAGGTTTTCTTTTTATTTCTCTCTCTCTCTCTCTCTCTCTCTCTATATATATATATATATATGTATA